TTGTTAACACTCTAGTGGCTGCAGTTTTGATTAAAATATTCTGGAAATTTGTAAGGAAGGTTGTTTTAATGATTTCTAGGTCAAGTTCAAAGATGGGTAATGTCTGGTCAAAAACTAGGTCACAGGAGCTAAAAATAGAAAAAGCTTGTTAACACTAATGGTTGCAGTTTTCATCCAAACATTCTGGAAATTTGTCAGAATGGTTGTTTTGATGATTTCTATGTCAAGTTTGAATATGGGTCGTGTCCGGTCAAAAATTAGGTCACATTGCCCAAATATGGAAAAATCTTTATAACACACTAGAGGTCACATGTTTGACTCAGTTGTCATCAAACTTGGTCATGATGCTTGTTTAAGACATTGCTTGGATGCGGTTGTGTCAGGTGAGCCATCCAGGGCCATCATGGCCCTCTTGTTTATAAAGTTTCTTTGTTAAGGAAATAGCCACGATATGCAAGGATAAAGTGTGGCTGTCATAAAAATGAACATAAATGATTTTTTGATGCCACTCTAGTCATGCAAAATTCCATATGTATCAAACTCTGGTACCAAGCAAGAAGAATTATAGTACATAAAAATAAACTTATACAGGAAAATAATAGTTATACAGTGCGATTTAGATTGCAAAGATCAGAAAATACCACAGAGCTTGCAGCCTTTTGATTTATCTTGTTTTTTGTATGTATGTTCTGGAGATTAGGTGGGTGGTTCTCGTAATACTTTAAGATTTATAAGATTGTGTATTAAAAGCCATTGTAAATTGTTTCGGAAATACTGGATATCTTTCTGAAAATTTATAGAGCTACTTAAGTATTTTAAACACATGAACGAAAAATTTCACAGTAACAAGAATTAAAATTAATTCCTAAGTATTTCGGTTATAGTGATTATACCGTAATCAAACGTTAAAGGTCTCCTAAGAAATGTTCTTTGGAATTAAATACTAAGTGTAAGCACTAGAGCATAAACCACCAGATTGCTTGCAAAATCTTTATCGGCAGGATAAATTGGTTCACAAAACATGATTTTTCTCAGTCATGATCAAATGAACAGACTATCATTTTCTTCCTGTTACCGAAAAATACACACCAGGAAGATTTCAAGTAGAAGACACGTCACTGACAGAATGTTCTTAATATTTGAATAGAAAAGAATTTGCTAAAGCCAATTAATGAAAGAGAAGTCGGGAATGCTACTTATTAAATTATTTGCCCATAAAAGAGGGTTTATTTTACTCGTTTAGATTATTTTCAAAAACAAAAGTCTCAAAAGCAAAGGTTCGCTAAAAGGTTATTAAGATGTAAACCGCGACATATAAAATTAATTTACGTGTGAAACTGGAGTGAAAATGTGTTAGTTTATCCGGTTTTTTCTTCAGTGCTTTCAGCACTTTGGTCTTATCTGTAGTACAAGTAAACTATATCGTTTTCACCGAAAAATCATTAAATTCTAAACAAGTTTCTAATAGAATCATAAACAGTTATTGTATCATAGTTTGAAGACTTTTCTGTTGAAAACGTGTCAGAGTTAAATCGAATTCATATACATGCACAGTGCGTAACTGGAGTGCAGGTAATAGTTCCCAACACTCCAGAGCATGCCCATTGATGTACTCATTCTTTTTTTGGGGGGGGGGGTGCTTTTTGTGGAATAACGATAGAAATGCCACATTCAGAAGCTGGTTCATAGGTTTTTTTCTGGGGTTTCATATTGTTACAACAGGGAACGTGCATTTAATTTTGCCTATGGTATGAATATGATGTAATTGTGTGTGGAACGTGTATGTACGATCCTATCAAGATAGCCTACGAAACGTCACCCATTACATACACAGATGCCCGTTTGTGCCAGAAACAATTTTGCAAAGGGGGCACCTGAGTTCTTACTCCACCAGTAAAACTGAAGAGTCGCCAAAATGACCTACACAGTTTTGTGTGACGTAACCCCCACTCCATCCCAAAAACAAACAATCAAATCAAATGAGACATGTCATTAACTGTATTTGATTTAAATACGTTATAGATAGCGTTAAATACATTTATTAGTGTGATTACACTGTGCTCGTTATAGTATAAATATCACCAATGCATTATGTTTGTCTTGAAATATTGAAATTGAAACTGAAATGTCAATGAAAATAATTGTATATGTATATAATATCTTTCCGTTTTGTCTAGAAAATGTCCGCTTCGCTGGCGTTTGATTTTTCAAGACAACGAAATTGCTACCTTGATTATCTTTTATACAGTTTTTCTTCGTTATACTGAAGTTATATAAACATGATAGGTTAGAGTGTTGAGAAAAAATCAATAGGCTTTTTTACCCCTGTTTACTCTGTTGTTCCAAAAATGTCCGTTGCGTATTTTAATCATACCCGATGAATTGTGGGTAACTTCTGTACATGTCTGGGAAAACCAACTTTCATTTTTGCATCAAAAGCTAATGTGAAAATGCATTTTCTAGCATATTTGTTGTTAGAGGGTTGGTTAAAGTGTAAGTTATTGTTATTTTAGTTATAATATTGTGATTTGTGAGGAAATTTGTTAACATTTTTTTTGGACACCAAATTACCTGTCAGACCTCAGTGTAGCCCCTTTAAAACTTAAAAAATCTTTAAAAAAACCCCAAAAAGCTAGAGCTTAGATATTAGTCATGAATCATCCTCTAGTGGGTGTCTACCAAGTTTGTTCAAATAAAAGCCCTGGGGTCAAAATTGGCCCGCCCCAGGGGGTCATTGATGTTCCTTATTTGTATATAGTAAAAACTTAAAAAATCCTTGTTTAAAAAACCAAAATAGCTAGAGCTTAGATATTAAGCATGAAACATTTTCTAATGGGTGTCTACCAAGTTTGTTCAAATAAGGGCCCTTAGGTTAAATTTGGCCCAGCCCCCGGGGGTCATTGATTTTCCTAATATGTGTATAGTAAAAACTTAAGAAATCTTCTTATAAAAAACTCTCAGAGCTAGAGTTTAGATACTTAGCATGAAATATCTTCTAGTGAGTGACTACCAAGTTTGTTCAAATAAAAACCTTGGGATAAAAATTGGTCCCTCCAAAGGGGGGGGGGGGGGGGGGGAGTCATTGTTTTTCCCTATATGTATATACATGTAGTAAAAACTTAAAAAAAAAACTTCTTATAAAAACCCCAAAGAGCTAGAGCTTAGATATTTTTCATGAAACATCTTCTAATTGGTGTCTACCAAGTTTGTTCCAATAAAAGCCCCTGGTTTAAAGTTGGCCTTGGCCCAGGGGCTTTTATACAGGTGAGCGATTTCAGGGCCGTCATGGGGCTCTTGTTTTACATTCTGGTACATTAAGCATAACAATTTAATGAAAGAAAACTAAAATGATAAAAAGTATACTATTTTAAAATAAAAAGTGAAAAAAAATACATTTGGCTCTCTGACAACCGAATTTACTTGTGGTGACAGTGGTGTCTGTACTGATCAGGGGAAGTGACTGCTGCTGGGAGTTAAAGTAGCAAAGTGTGAGGTAATCGCTATGAGGAGTTTGCTTTCGCCTTTCTTGCTTCTAATCTTTACGTACTTGCTAGGACGGGTAATATTGAATAAGAGGGTACCTGTAATATAAAAAAATAATAGCAAAGACGTGGCCCGTTTTGCTGCAAAACCGAAAGTAGGGTTTTTTTATTAATTTTACGTTTATTATACCCCCGCACAACAAAGTTGTAAGGGGGGTATACTGGAATCAGCTTGTCTGTCCGGCCGGCTGTCCGGCTATACGTCCGTCCGGCTGTCCAGCCGTCCGGCTGTCTGTCGGTTTTGTCGGTTTTTTCTTGTCCACCCAATAACTTAAGATTCCTTTGACCCTTAGTCTTCATATTTGGCATGGAGGTTAGTCATGATTAGTAGATGACCCCTATTGATTTTGAGGTAACCGGGTCAAAGGTCAAGGTCACAGGGGCCTTGGCTTTAAAAAGCTTGTCCGCCCAATAACTTAAGATTCCTTTGACCCACAGTCTTCATATTTGGCATGGAGGTTAGTCATGATTAGTAGATGACCCCTATTGATTTTGAGGCCACCGGGTGAAAGGTCAAGGTCACAGGGCCCTTGGCTTCAAAAACCTTGTCCACCCAATAACTTAAGATTCCATTGACCCACAGTCTTCATATTTGGCATGGAGGTTAGTCATGATTAGTAGATGACCCCTATTGATTTTGAGGTCACTGGGTCAAAGGTCAAGGTCACAGGGGCCTTTACTTTAAAAAGTTTGTCTGCCCATTAACTTAAGATTCCTTTGACCCACAGTCTTCATATTTGGCATGGAGGTTGATCATGACCATAAGGTGACCCCTAATGATTTTGAGGTCACTGGGTCAAAGGTCACAGGGACCTTGACAAAAAAATAAGTTTTTCTCCTCAACTGCTTAAGAATGCCTGTCAGCAGTGTATTGATTTTGACATTTTCAATTTGAAACATGTAGAATACATTATTTAGCAATGCACTGGCTTAGTAACCTCAGATTTGGCAGGGAAGTTGTCATTGAGCTCTAAATGGCCACTGTTGATTCTGACAAAGTGGTATACGGGGGTATTCACGCCATGACAGTGGCAGTTCTAGTTTTTGACTAATAACTGCTATTTTCTCAATGATTATATATAAATGAACATATGTTACATGTATGATGCATATAATTATAATCAAGCCACTGGTTCAAGCCCTAAAAAAAAATGTCGAGGTGATGGACGAGACAAGACATGTTGATTTTATGTAGCTTATTGTGGGGTTGCAATAATTGAAAATGGATAAAACATTCTAGTGTTCTGTGTTATACTTTATATTTTCCACATGACATACCTCCTTTAATCAGTTGAAGGAACATTTGCTGGATTGTTATCCATTGCTGGATTGTTTTTAGCAAAGAATAGCCTGTGCATGTGCAAAGAGGGTACCGTTTGAGTAGATTTTGCAAAGAGGGTATCGATATGGATATGCACCATTTGAACAGTATATAATGATAATCCTTTTTTTTTGTAGAAACTATTTCAGAATTGAAAGATATGCTCAACCAGATGAGACAAAAAGATATCAAGTTAAAACAAGAACAAGGTGAGTATAAAATAGATAAAATGGAATATGTCATTAGATTAGAATTTAAGAATGTTTGCAAATTTTATACATGGACAATCATTTCAGTAATAGTGTTTACCATATACATTCATATATTTCATTGCAGTTTAGTTTTTCTTTTGTTTTGTTTCAGTTTTAGAGTTTAAATTGCTGACAACATGTGAAAATGAAGAATTTAAGAAGATAGCAGAAGACTTACTCGAAACCAACCTACAAGCTTCCATACAAAAATTAGATCAACTGTCAGATTCTTTGAGGAAAGAAACTGACAAACTAGTAGCTAGCATTGCCGCACATCCAGATGTTGAAGTTAAACAAAAGTGCATCATTTTGTCATGTAAATGTTCCACTCCTGGTGGCTTACTACACATTTTAGATGTCACACACGGAGATCGATTTAGAAGCACATTTAGAAACATAGCTAATGAGCTGCATTACAAATACGGATATGCTTTCCTCATACAGGGAAAGTGCACACTGGAAAGTGTGATGAGTGTTTCAACAATGATATATAAATGTAAGTCTGAGTATATAAACCATATTTACAGAAATCGTTTTTAGGCTACTGAGGTCCGTGACGCTTACAACACAAATTTGAAATTCTTATATAGACCAACTGGGTCACTTGAACAAGAAGATATGCAAAAGGTAGAAAAGAAATAGACTCAGAAATATATTGAAAATTGCATTTTGAGCTAGGAGAATAATAGGTAACGGTACATTTTTAGCTCACCTGATCATGAAGTGGTCAAGGTGAGGTATAGCGATGGGGCTATGTCTGGCGTCTGTCGTCATGCGTCGTTCGTCGTCAATAATTGGCTTGTTAACAGTCTAGCAGTCACAGTTTTGATTGGATCATTGTCAAACTTTGTCAGAATGTTTGTCTCAATGAAATAAAGATTGAGTTCAAAGATAAATCATCTCTGGTCAAAAACTAGGTCACAGGAGCTAAAAATAGAAAAAGCTTGTTAACACTCTACTGGCTGCAGTTTTGATCCAAATATTCTGGAAATTTGTCAGGAAGGTTGTTTTAATGATTTCTAGGTCAAGTTCGAAGATGGGTCATCTCCATTCAAAAACTATGTCACAGGAGCTAAAAATAGAAAAAGCTTGTTAACACTCTACTGGCTGCAGTTTTGATCCAAATATTCTTGAAATTTGTCAGAATGGTTGTTTTGATGATTTCTAGGTCAAGTTCGAAGATGGATCATCTTGTTAAAAACTGGGTCACAGGAGCTAAAAAAAAGAAAAAGCTTGTTAACACTCTAGTGGCTGCAGTTTTGATCCAAATATTCTAGAAATTTGTCAGGAAGGTTGTTTTAATGATTTCTAGGTCAAGTTCGAAGATGGGTCATCTCCGGTCAAAAACTAGGTCACAGGAGCTAAAAAAAGAAAAAGCTTGTTAACACTCTACTGGCTGCAGTTTTAATCCAAATATTCTGGAAAATTGTCAGGAAGGTTGTTTTAATGATTTCTAGGTCAAGTTCAAAGATGGGTCATCTCCGGTCAAAAACTAGGTCACAGGAGTTTAAAATAGATAAAACTTTTTAACACTCTAGTGGCTGCAGTTTTGATCCACATATTCTGAAAACTTGTTAGGAAGGTATTTTTTTTAATGATTTCTAGGTCAAGTTTGAAGATGGGTCATCTGCGGTCAAAAACTAGGTCACAGGAGCTAAAAATATAAAAAGCTTGTTAACACTCTACTGGCTGCAGTTTTGATCCAAATATTCCTAAAATTTGTCAGAAAGGTTGTTTTGATGATTTCTAGGTCAAATTTGAAGATGGGTCATCTCGGGTCAAAAACTAGGTCACAGGAGCTAAAAACAGTTAAAGCTTGTTAAGACTCCACTGGCTGCAGTTTTGATTCAAATATTCTGGAAATTTGTCAGGAAGGTTGTTTTAATGAATTCTAGGTCATGTTTGAAGATGGGTCATATCCGGTTAAAAACTAGGTCACAGGAACTAAAAATAGAAAAAGCTTGTTAACACTCTACTGGCTGCAGTTTTGATACAAATATTATTATTATGGCAATTTGACAGGAAGGTTGTTTTGATGATTTCTAGGTCAAGTTTGAAGATGGGTCATCTCCGGTTAAAAACTAGGTCACAGGAGCTTAAAATAGAAAAAGCTTGTTAACACTCTTCTGGCTGCAGTTTTGATCCAAATATTCTGGAAATTTGTCAGGATGGTTGTTGTGATGATTTCTAGGTCAATTTCGAAGATGGGTCATCTCCGGTCCAAAACTAGATCACAGAAGCTAAAAATAGAAAAATCTTTATTACACTGTAGTGGCTCCAGTTTTGATCCAAATATTCAGGAAATTTGTCAGAAAGGTTGTTTTGATGATTTTAAAGTAAAGTTCGAATATGGGTCATCTCCAGTCAAAAATTAGGTCGCATTGCCCAAATATGGAAAACCTTTTTAACACACTAGAGGTCACATTTTTGACTCAATTGTCATTAAATTTGGCCAGGATGCTTGTCTAAGACATTGCTTGGATGGGGTTGATGGGTCAGGGGAACGATCCAGGGCCATCATGGCCCTCTTGTCTTTAATCCTATTCATCCCATATTTACTTGTGTGTCTTTTTGTGCCCCCACATTAGTGGCGGGCATTTAGATTTACCCTTGTCTGTCTGTCCGTCTGTCCTTCCGTCCGTCCGTTCGTCCTTCCTTCCGTTCACTTTTGTGTCGCACGTAACTCAAAAAGTATTTGACCTAGAGTCATGAAACTTTACAGGAATGTTGATCAGCATGTGTTGTTGTGCACCTGGGTATTTTCGTGTGGATATTTTAAGTATTTTAAGAGTTATTGCCCTTGAGTTAGTAAAATTTTGCAATTTTCAACTTGTGTCGCACGTAACTCAAAAAGTATTTGACCTAGAGTCATGAAACTTTACAGGAATGTTGATCAGCATGTGTAGTTGTGCACCTGGGTATTTTCGTCTGGATTATTTTAGTATTTTCAGAGTTATTGCCCTTGACTTAGTAAAATTTTGCAATTTTCAACTTGTGTCGCATGTAACTCAAAAAGTATTAGACCTAGAGTCATGAAACTTTACAGGAATGTTGATCAGCATGTGTAGTTGTGCACCTGGTTTTTTTTGTCTGGATATTTTAAGTATTTTAAGAGTTATTGCCCTTGACTTAGTAAAATTTTGCAATTTTCAACTTGTGTCGCATGTAACTCAAAATGTATTTGACCTAGAGTCATGAAACTTTACAGGAATGTTGATCAGCATGTGTAGTTGTGCACCTGGTTTTTTTTGTCTGGATATTTTAAGTATTTTAAGAGTTATTGCCCTTGACTTAGTAAAATTTTGCAATTTTCAACTTGTGTCGCACGTAACTCAAAAAGTATTTGACCTAGAGTCATGAAACTTTACAGGAATGTTGATCAGCATGTGTAGTTGTGCACCTGGGTATTTTCGTCTGGATATTTTTAGTATTTTCAGAGTTATTGCCCTTGACTTAGTAAAATTTTGCAATTTTCAACATGTGTCGCATGTAACTCAAAAAGTATTTGACCTAGAGTCATGTAACTTTACAGGAATATTGATCAGCATGTGCAGTTGTGCACCAGGTATTTTCGTCTGGATTTATGTAGTATTTTTAGAGTTATTGCCCTTCACTTAGAAAATTTTTGCAATTTTCAACTTGTGTCGCAAGTTACTCAAAAAGGATTTGACATAGTCATTAAACCTTATGGGCAGGTTGCTCAGCATATTTAGATTTGCACCTGGGGTTTCGCTTGTGGATTTATCCAGTATTTGTAGAGTTATTTCCCTTGACTTAGTAAAAAGGTTGAGAGAACAGTGGCGCGGTGGGGGAACCTGTGTCCTATGGACACATTTCTAGTTTAGGTCTTGTGTGACTAAAAATGACATAAATTTGATTAAAAGAGAAGTCACACAAGTACCCTTTCTTAAGTATGTCCATCAGTCACAAAACTTGTCCACACACTCTTGAAAAACTACTGTTGCAAATTCAAACAAACTTCACAGGAATGATAAGTATCAAATCTAGTTGTGCATATGATCAGCATTTAAATACCAGTCAATGTCTTTATGCCACTGCAGCATCTGCAGTGTGGTGGCATGAAGCAATTCACCCGTGTTTGTGTGTTATATAGATTACCGTAACATTTTTCCAGGGGGCTTAACATTTTCCAAAAAGAGCGGGGTGGGAGGGGGTATCAAGGCATTAAAGCATATAAATGGCTGTTTAACATTTATTGACAAGAGCATATGCATATAATGTTGTGCAAAAATATAGAACATTTAAGTGCTTTCTTGATACTGATACAGAAATATATTTATATCATAACTGATTTTTCTTTCACAGTTTTGTCTTCCTGTGTCAAGTATTTAATTAGTCAAGCTTTGCTGTCTCCTGTGTGTGTTTGAGATATAAATCTTTCATGATTTTTATGCCCCCCGGGCATATAGTAATTGAACTGTCTGTCCATATGAAGTTATACCTGAAAGTTATGTGTCTCAAGTTCTACAAGTACCAATGGCTTTATAATTTACACTCTTCCTAATCATACTTAGTACATAATCTGGGGAAGTTACATAACTATTGCCCCCATTTCTTCAAAGTTATTACCCTTTTCAGCACTTAGAATATATATGGTTAACTTAAACCGGCAAGTTGGATATATCTTATCAAGTTATATTTTATCTGCACTAATGGCTTTATAATTTCCATATTTCCATACTTACTCATCAATACAAAGTACAAGTTATTGTTAAGTTATTTAGCTATGCCATCAATATTTCCAAGGTATTTCTCTTGGTATTACTTTAAAAATATGGCCTTGTATGTTTAACCTATTCCAGCAAGTTGGATTTATATTAAATTTCTCCTTCTTAGTTCATTATGCCCCCGAAGGGAGGCATAATATAATCGCACCATCTGTCCATCTGTCCATCTGTCCCACTTCATTCGTGTCCGGACTGTAACTTTGTCATACATTGAGAGATTTTGAAATAACTTGGCAGGCCTAGACATTAACTTTTGAATCAGGTTGTCCTGTCGGGCAAGTAGTTTTTAAAACTACTTGCCCTGACCTAAGACTTACTTGTCCTGACCTAAAATGGTAAAAATGTTTAATCAGAAAAGACAAACAAGCTCATACATTAATACTTCTTGTATTAGGTAAGGTTAACATATTTACATAAGGCAATAAACTGGACATATTGTTTATGAAATTGATTGTTAGTTAATCATCATCCAGGCTAATATATAACCCTAATGTTTACATGATTAGAAATAACACTGGCATCCTTTGATCTTGATCTTCAACTTGTGTTATAAAAATGGACATAAAGTTAATTAGACAATTCATCTACATCATCATTCTCATCAAACTGCCTCTGTCCTCCATGATACCACATGTTGAGAGCCCTAGTACAGTTATAATCACTAACTTGTGGCCATCAGATAGTTCAACATATCTGGGTTAAGGGATGCCCTCCAGTCACTTTTGATTCTTGCCATGGCTGAGAACCCACGCTCACAGATGGCACTTGAGGTTGGTACACACAAAATGATTTCAACAAGAACAAGAATGTTCTTGAACCTCTCTTTCAGGTTATCATCAGTGAAAATTATTTTGTGTAGTACCTCAGTGGACTTTTGTCTATTTCTACTCATATGGGCTTTTAAAGCAGGCCATTCTGTATCCTTGATGACATTTGTTTGGCAGCCAAGTCTGCAAAGCAAAGGATTAAAATACTGAATCAAAGTGCCTATTTCCTGCTCCCCATACAATGCTAGATCAGTGGCTGATTCTGGAAGGTTGACCATGAAAAAAATCTGCATTGACTTTAATACAGGTGAGGTGTCTAGATCTTGGAGTCTCCCTGAAATGTGATTGATGACAGCATCAATTAAGAGAGACTTCTTGCTAGATAGTCCCTCTGCAGACATAGTGCAAGGAGAGAGTTGTATGCCCTGAAAGACATGTTGGTCATCAAGAGCATCAACAAATACTTGGAGATGCTTACCTGGTCTATGTTGAAGGGCAACAAGGCGCAGGCAAGCTGTTTCTAAGGCATCAAGAGCATCAGGAATAGAGCAGGTGTCTCTTTGAAACTGAAGTGAAAGATCACTTAGAATTTCAAGTACATCCTGTAAGAAAAACATATAGTGTAAAAGTTTTTCACTCTTTAGGTGCTTCAGGATGCTCTTTGCTCTTCCTTGTACATCAGCTGTGCCTTTTCCACCTTGCACAATATCTTCAAAATGTGTTACAAATACACAGTAAGAAGCAGGTTTGAGAAGCACAGCCAAAGACCTACTGAGGTGAGGCATCCATCGTGTGCCTTCTAGGTTGGCTGGCTTCAGCATTTTCACCTCCATAGCTTCTGCTAAACTCTTAAGTTCACGCAGAGCTTTTGCAGAGTAATGGTAGTGCTTATGCAATCTTAGTAATAGAGATTTGATATCCGAGAACATTTCAGCATCTCTATCCTTGATTGCATCTAGAGCACCCAATTCTAACCTGTGATTAACACAGTGCATCTTTTTAAGTTTTACACTTTTATTTTTACCAATGTTAACACTAGCACCATCAGATCCAGTTGCTATTAACTTATCCTTCCATCCATTAACATTGGCCATGGCCTCTTCAATAGCACAGAGCACACCTTCAGAGTGAGCATGCTTAACTGCCACCATTTTCACATACACACACTTTGGAGTACCTTCATCTACCTGTAAAATATAAGACATTTACAACTTTTCAGACCTCAAACATTAAATTATACCAAACGTTTCAGTTCTAATTTATTTTATTACGTTCTTTTACAAATTTTGGAATTGTTAATTATAACCGCATATCATTATGTTTATTATAATTTAAACATTTTCATAATAGCTTTTAATAAAACTTAATTAAGTCAGTTATGAATATTTTAACTAACTTACCATTCTGGCATAATATGTATATTATACAAGCTCATTTTCACATACTGAAACATCAGTCGCCCCATCAAACATAATTGACAAAACCCTAGCTTTCTTCAACAAGTTATCAGACACTTCCTGGATATCATTAAAGATAAATGATATAAACCTGAAATTAAAGTAGATAGAAAACTTTAACCCAAAATATATTTTCAAATGTATTATATCAGAGACTTCATTAATTAAATTGGGTTATATCATATCAGTCCAATAATTTATTTGTAACTAATAAAAGTGTCTTTATAGAATCTACTAACATACAAAATAGATATTCAAATATTATAAAAGTTCGGGATTTGAATGTGTTACTGTAATGATAAATTTGTACTAGATCTAGATCTATCTAAATTAAAAAGCTGATAATTGAAATGTAAATTATTTATGTTTATATACCTTGAACATGCCTTGTCTGATTTGTAGCTTTTTGCTAAATCAACCCCATTTATTTGCTGCAACTCAAGGACAGAAGGGTACATCGTGAAAGGCATTTCATTTTTGGCTACCCAATATGCAGAGTTAAAGCACACTGTTAATTTCTTTAATTGGTCTTTGTTGAGTTTTTTTATGCTTAAATCTAAAGCCCCAACAACATTTTCACCGCCAGAAGCTTCAGTTGTAACAGACGTGGAGGTACTTTGTATATCACCTGTATATGAACAAGAAACAACCTGTTTCTTTTCCTTCATGATAGCAATCGTGTGTTTTTTAACACAGGAAGTATGAAGAGAACTTTTTTCATGACTTTTGATAGACTCCACCCGACATGTTTTACAACCAGTCACAAAATTAGATGTTCTATCATCATCAAATTTTTTACAGGGCATGCAAAGTATAGAAGACGACGCTTCGTCGTATTTTAACCACTCGTATTCTTCTAGCCATTTTGGAACAAATTCTCGTTTACGTTTCTGTTCATAAGTTTTTTTTGTCTCTTCACGACCCTTATAATTTTTTTCCTTCCCTGTCCCATCATTGTTGTCTTTAGACGAAGAAAAACCAAATTTGAACAAGGACATTTAGATTTTTTTATTTTGCAGACGACGAATTGATGTCAACAGCCGTAAATTAGTCTTCGTTGACTACGTTCATGTCGTTATATTAGATAAAACAATAAATCATTTTTAATGCAAAAACTTTATTTATCAATTATATTAAAAGATCAATACGAAATTTTACATATTTTCAATGATATCTTTACATGCACGCATCAATATTAAACCCGGGAATTACCTTGTACAAACATTAAATAGAGTTTATTTTTAGAACGGGGAATTACCTTACCGCGTTGCATGCTCATATTTTTGCTTCTGTTTCCTTTATCAACAAATGTATATGACAATAAATAATTTTTAATGCAAACACTTTATTTAACAATTATATTTAAAGTTCAATACGATTATTTACATATTTTCAATGATATATTTACATGCACACATCAAAATTAAAACGACAGCATGACCCGGGAATTACCTTGTACAAAATTAATTATAGTCTATTATTAGAACGGGGAATTACCTTACCGCGGCGCATGGTAATATTTTTGCTTCCGTTTCCTGTATCAACAAATGTACATGACCGTAGCGTATTCATATTATGGTGTATTTTTGTTTGACAGATGTTTATAAATGAAAATATGTGTTTTTCTATTTATTTTGTACATGCAATTTGTCAATGACACTTTTTATTTTCACTTGCCCTGTCGGACAAGTGCTTTCCAAAATTACTTGCCCGGACCAAACTTTTAGTTGTCCCGGGCAGTCGGACAACCGTTAATGTCGAGCCCTGCTTGGCACAAATGTCTACCACATCAAGACGATTTGTCGCGTCCAAGAACCTCGTTCCTTCCTTAAAGGTCGTGGTCTATCATTTTAAAGTTTCACATTATTGCTATAAGAGTAAATAGGTACACACATTCATGTCTGGGCTGTAACTTTGTCATGCATCGAAGGATTTTAAAATAACTTGGCATAAATGTCTACAACATCAAGATGATGTGTCGCGTCAAATAATCACGTACCTACTTCAAAGGTCAAAGTCACACTACCATTTTGAAGTTCACTTTATCACAATTTATAGGTACACACATTCGTGTCCAGGCTGTAACTTTGTCATGCATTGAAATATTTTAAAATAACTAGGCATAAATGTCTACCACATCAAGACAATGTGTCATGGCTAAGGCTCATGACTGTCCGCATTAAGCTTGTCCGCCCTTCACAGGTCAAACTACTGGTGGGATTTCAACCAAACTTTACAGGAGTGGTCAGTACCATCCCTAGTTGTGCACATCACTGGCACGTTTGGTTTCGCTGCAGAAAATGGTCGCCAGAACTAAAAATCTTGTCCAGCCTTCACAGGTCAATCTTCTGGTGGGATTTCAACCAGATTTTACAGGAGTGATCAGTAACATCCTAGTTGTTCACATCACCTGCAGGTTCCACTTTGCTGCACAAAATGGCCATCAGAAAAATCTTGACAGGTCAAGCTTCTGGTGGAATTTAAATGAAACTTCCCTTGTTGTGCACATCACCTGAATGTTTGGCTTCACTGCACAAAATGGCCGCAAGAGCATAAAATAGAAAAATCATGTCCGGCCGTCACAGGTCTAACTACATGTGGGATTTCAACCAAACTTTACAGGAGTGATCAGTGCCATCCCTAGTTGTGCACTTCACTGGCATGTTCCGCTTCGCTGCACAAAATGGCTGCAAGAGCTAAAAAAAGCAAAATCTTGTCCAGACTTACAGGTCAAACTACAACCAACTTTACAGGAGTTAGCAGTACCATCCCTAGTTGTGCACATCATTTGCATGTTCCGCTTCGCTGCACAAAATGGCCACCAGAGCTAAAATAGAAAAATTTTGTCCGGCCTTCACAGGTGAAAGCACTGGTGGGATTTCAACCAAACTTTACAGGAGTGATCAGTACCATCCCTAGTTGTGCACATCACCGGCACGTTTGTCTTCGCTGCACAAAATGGCCACCAGAGCTAAAAATCTTGTCTTTGTGTCACAGGTCAAACTTCTGGTGGGATTTCAACCAAATTTTACAGGAGTGATCAGTAACATCCCTAGTTGTGCACATCACCTGCACGTTTGGCTTTGCTGCACAAATCGGCCACAAGAGCTAAAAATAGAAAAATCATGTCCGGCCTACACAGGTCAAACTACTGTTGGGACTTTAATCAAACTTTACAGGAGTGATCAGTACCATCCCTAGTTGTGCACATCACTGGCACATGTCACTTTGCTGCACAAAATGGCCGCCAGAGCTAAAAATAGCAAAATCTTGTCCAGCCTTCACAGGTCAAACTACTGCTGGGATTTCAACCGAACTTTACAAGAGTGATCATTAACATCCCTAGTTGTGCACATCACCAGTCTTTCCGAAAGACCGTCGGACCGTCGGCCCTGACCGGTAAAAAATCAGAAGGTCCGATAAAAATACATGTATTGACGGCCCGACGGTCCGGTAAAAAATTAAGGTTTTATAAAAACCTTACATTCAACATTTTGCAAAGGCCGATCATTTACCTAAATTCAAAACATATCAAAATGTTGTCATTACACAATATAAGCTTGTGCAATGCTTGTCAACTGTTATGCATTCTCATAATGCAAACTTTTATGTAACAACGCAAGATAAAAATATCCGACAACTAAAAGTCGATAAACGGCCACGTAAATTACATAAGTGGCCCAGATGTAAAAGGTCACCCGCTATTAGTTTGTTTACACAGATGAAAGTGTCAGTGTATTAATTGGAACAATTTACGTCTTTAATCCACAGACTTAGAGTAATGCCTAATTACACGTGTGCTCAACTGGTGTTTAGCTATGAAAGATCGTCCAAGATGTTGACAAAAATTAAACTATACTGTGAAGGTACCAAAATCATTGAACAATTAATCTGTCAACTTCACTAAATTACCGATATATATAATTCTGTTTACATATGCCAGACTTTTGCTGAAATTTACCCTCTCATTTTGCTAGTATATATTCTGTATGGAATTAAAGTTTAAATAGCAAAATCTATTGAATACATGTATAACAATATTTATGTTTACATTTTGATTGTGGTGAAAAAAGATAACTTCACTTTGTTGATAATATATTTTTCTTTTTGTACACAAATTTTTTGACTGTGTCAGTCAAGTGACTCAAAATGCTATACCAATCAGGTTTTTTTTCGGTCCAGTAAAATCATGTTTGGTCCAGTAAAAATTTTCAGTTTACAGGACCTACTGTCCAGTAAAACTCAGAAGTCCTTCGCATAGACTGCATCACTGGCACCTTCCGCTTAGCTGCACAAAAAGGCCGCCAGAGCTAAAAAAAGCAAAATCTTTTCCAGCCTTCACAGGCCAAGTTACTGGTGGGAGTTCAATCAAACTTTACAGGAGTGATCAGTACCATCCCTAGTTGTGCACATCACCTGCACGTTTCACTTTGCTGCACAAAATGGCCATCAGAAAAATCTTGTCGGCTTTCACAGGTCAAGCTACTGTAGGAATTTAAATGAAACTTTATATGAGTGACCATACATAGTTTTGGGAGACATATCATTTTTGTGACAAAAACCCTTCTAGTTGTATCCTGTGACTGATTGAATTCATGAAGCCTTAATACTTTAAAAAGATAAAAAACTTTTAATATATTATGTGTTGCCTCTACAGAGTAGTGGCGACATATAGAGATCACTTCTTTGTCGTCTGTCCGTCCGTCACAAAACTTGTGACTACTAATCATAAACTACTGGTGTAATTTCATTCAAGCTTTGAAATTGTCTGTACCAAGTCTAGTTGTGCATATCATCAGCAATTTGCAGTTCAATGATTTTTGTCCAAGTTATGGCCCTTTAATAATTTTTATTTTTAACGTTTGTCCAGACTACTCTTATATCACTCAAGCAATTGCATTGAAACTTAAAAGGATTGATCTTGTAACTCAAGTCATTGGGCATATTGCACTGGTTTTATGGTTGAATGATTTTTGGCCAAGTTACGGCCTTTTAATAAAAAAGGTGTTTTTTTGTGTGTTGCCAGGGTTCGACATTAACGGGATTCCGAGGATCCCAAAAAGTCGGGAGGAATCTCTGTGATTCCTAGCTGGGGATTCCGTTGGGATTCCTGAAAAATTGCTGTGTACATTTTTGAAATTGTCTGAATTATTTAATATCATTGAATTACAAATATTCAAGAAAAGTGTTAATAAAGACTGGCACAACTGCATTGTTCAAGAAAGAAAAGAAAAATCCCGCCGGTAAAATCTACGCTCTTGAATCATGTACACCAGATTTCCTTTGTGCAGTGACTACTATCAACTCATTTGCAATATATAATGAAAAATATTTTGGCTAAAGAAACATTTTTGAATAATTTTATATCATGCATTGACTTTATAATATTAAGTTGTGAAAATTCAAGAAAGAAATATAATTATCGTATAATTATTACACGAGTGGTGCGTACTTCAAATATGTGCAGATCGGCGTTGCAGGTGGTAGCTACAAAGTTTTTTTTTGCATGCCAAATTTTGGCATTTGTGATTGGAAATTTTCGTAAAAAAAAGTGAGAAAAAAAACAAAAAGATTACTGATTTTTTTTCTCCCTGTAGTACAGCAAAAGTGTAATTAATAAATAGAAAAAAAAAAAGAATCCATACTTTTCAGTTTAAAATCCTTTTTGAAACTCTGCAGCCTTAAATGCTAAAAAAATATTGTCTAACTAAAAATTGAAGTGTTCTAAGGTCAATCAAGGTCACGCATAATTTACCGACAATTTTTTTTTAGAAAAATCCTTAGGTGAAACATACACCAAATGACGTATATTTCATCTGACAGTTCTTTGGGCCAATCAGTGTTCTGAACTACATGACTGCTGTATGCGGTGAGTGCCTTTGATGTGGCATATGTCAAAACTTAAAAGAAATTAATACACACATGGAGGAAAAGAATCGGACATTTCAGTGTAAAAATTGAGAACAATAAATTTGGATATTACACATCCTGTCAAGGA